TCGTGGTCAGGATAATAGTAACAAATAACAATCAAGTTGAAATTTTAAAACTAAATGCATCAATTTTTTGGCGGTAAATTTATCAATATTTATTTCAATGTCCTAATGAATGTATTAAGTAGTGGTATTGGTATAGTGCCAGACCATTTGATTGATTTTCACTAATAGAATGACTCAAAAATGTTTTGATACACTTTAGGGCCAATAAGTTGTACCGTCTACGGTTAAACTTCGATTATGCTTAATCAGCTGATAACAGATATTTAACCGTGCAAATTCGGCCGATTAAACCCCGGTTAACTTTAATCAGAGATGGTACAACTAGCCCTTAGACTAGAGAAGTTGGTTTTTACTGAACATCTTGTCTCAGCTAAAATTTAGTATCTTATTGGTTTATAAAATAATTATATTTCTGTAAAATGTAAATAGACAAGATTTGGTTATTGCAATATTATTTTATATTAAATACTAAACATTACCAGCTAAATAAAATGTATTTAATTTARATATTACTTAATCGAGAATAGACAGTAAATCATAAAATAAATAATATTTGACAATCAGAAAAATGCTTATATTAATATATTATTATAATATCATGAACTGCTATTTTAAAATTGAATCTATAGTTGATCATATATAGTCTTTTGTTATCAAATTCTATTAATTAATCTATACGTATATAATATTTATTATTATAACTACCAACTACAATAATATACACCCGGGGTATTATTAAGAAGTTAGAATCATTATTTTAGAACTTTTAGATTCTAAATGAAGTAAATATAGATACAAAGGTTTCAAAATATTGTTGATTTAATTTTTTTAGTCTATGATTTTTAAGTTGTAGGTTATTTATTTTTATGTTACGTAATACCACGGTCCGTAATCCAACTACACATATATAATCCATTTATAACTATAGGGTTATTACTTATAAATATAAATATAAGGATAAGTACAGTGGAGTAAATTGGGTTGATTTTAAAAGGTGAGTAAAATAATATTAAACACTCAGCTGCCTACATCAACCCACAAGCAACAATAACAATCATACATATTGTAAATAAACTATAAAGTATTGAACAATATTATACAATGAGTATTTAACGTAGGTACATGTACCTACATCCAAAAATAAAAATAAAACATGAACCTTAAAAAAAATTAAAACGAAATACAAATTTTCAGATTATGTAATATCGTAGTAATTATTTATCATAGACAAGTAAAGGAATTTTCAGTTTTTCCCCCATCCTATACTTATAAACGTCAAAACTATATTATTATGATACAGTTTGACAAACAATAGGTATATACAATCTACTGAGTATTCATTCGTCGGCAATTTGATAATGAATGAATAAGAAAAATTACATATTCATCAAGATTACAATATATGTCCCAAATATTATGAAACGCTAATAATCCATCATCCTAGTGATTCATCCTCATGTATARTGTGAACAGGAGATTTTTCAAGCCTGTTCAATACTTCATTATGCATATTTTATTGTTATTAATTTGTGTATACTTCTAGACCTTTTTACGAAATTTTAGTATTTAACAATTAATATGCGACTAATATATTAAAAGACAATACAGTCCACTATAGTCTTTCACATTTTTTTTTCATACCATATTTTTTGACTGCTATTCRTAACTTAATGCCACTCAATCTCCCCTCTAACATTTATCAGATTTAGGTATTTAACACACCTTGTGACTTTTATCTACTGTCAAAAGTGAAAACTGGTTTGAAAACATCTCATTTTGACTCCGTGGAAAAGGTGAAAATAAAAGCAATAGATAAACCAGGATATAAACTGTAGTCTAAGAACTTGATATTTARTGATCAGAAGCACTGCAAGTATTAAATATTAAAAAACGCAGTGATATTTTGATAGAAGCTGTGGAGTGTTTGAAAGTAGATCACAATTGAATTGTAAAATTATTAAAATTGACTACATTTATTACAGAAATATCGTTTTTAAATACCTAAATGTTGTTAAAAGATATATATAAAATTCTTAAAGTCGCTAGGTATGCTAAGTAGCATTTTGCAGAAATGTCGTTGCACTAAACAACACTTTACGCTACACTTTCTAACGGTGGCGCGAAATCGAGTTGATSGAAAAAATTTATTTCACCATTGCTTCTCAAAACAAAAAAAATAAATAGAATTTTTAGAATTTTTTAAAACAAAAACAACATACAATACAATATTTTTCAGGCACGTAGCCGACTATTTATAAGTAATCAAGAATTTGGGGTGGGGMAGTCGGACCTGAACCAAAGTGAATTTAATGGGAAACTACACTACTCACCACTCCTAACTACGTGTCTAATTTTTTTTCCATTTATCAGTCTTAAATAAACCGTTGAGAATCCAACGACGCGCTGAAAGCTGAAAAAATGGTCGGTAACGAGATGGTTGAGATGACCATAATGATGATCATTGATCAAGCGGGTGGAGCAACCTATTCTTAAATATTTAATATCTGATAAATTATATTTATTTAAATTAAATAMTGAACATTAAAAATCACCAATATCCCCCACCCATGACGAAATCATTTGATTGCCATAAGGTGACCACCATCACCGTTTCACTATCAACCAATGAAAAATATCACGATTATATGCTCACGATTGATTTAAACAATATTTACATTGGTATTAATTTGTTAATCGTGGTATACATTTACTCATGCAAGCAACCCCGATAATTTCCATCGTCAGTTAATTAAGTCGAGTTAGCAGCTATTTCGTCTGTCGTGACGTATCCAAGAGTTGAACTTGACCAAACTTTAGAAATTTCCCGGTTGGTCATGGTTATAGGATGATCCATAGTAACAACAATGGTAACGATTAAGAGGACGCCACACTGGCATTTGCTGTCTCCATCATCTTACAAGTGCGTAACATACCAAATTTACCGACAGCAGATCACCTGTTGCTTCGTTATTTCAAAAATTTTAGTGATTCGACCTCTTATGAAACTTGATGTATGAATATTATCTGTGTTTGTATGTGGGTTTTTTACGATAGTTCAGTTTTAAAGTGAGTAATGAGCATTCTAATTTATGCTATTTTATGCTATTTTATATGTATACGCAAAACATGCTAAAAAATTTTACCAATGTAAGAAACTTGCATACAAACACAAATAATGCTCTTGCCATTAAGTTTCATAAGAGGTCGATTCACTATAATTTTTTAACTGACGAAGCTACACGCGATCTGTTGAGCGTAAATTTGGTATGTTACGCACTACGCACTTGTAAGATATAAGAGACGCCAAATTCAATACGTTCTCAAAGGCATTCGACACGATGGACGACGTAACTATAAACAGTGTGAGCCTGGCTTTAGTCTGGTTTAATCTGGCCTGAGAAAACATGTCGTCATGCCAAATGCATTGCTACAACTTATTCCATAACCGATATATTTAGAGCTTAAAAATACATCGATTGTAAATGTAATGATGTATTTTATTATCTCAAATGTATTCTCTTAAGGTGAATTTATCTAAAAAACTAAGTAAGATAAAACAATAAGTAAACGTAAATAGTAAATTTTTAATTATGTGTAGGTACGTAATGCTTCAAAATCGAAATTTCATTTAAGCATAAGCATAACAATTTTTATTATTATTTTCATGTTTGCATAAAATATATATTTATAGTGTGGCTGTTAACATTTCGCATATAGTTTCTCAACTACGTTTTGACGTAGTGATTTACACTTTCATCATTTTTTTTGAAATTTAATACTGTTGGCTACAATGCGATATGCCAACTAGTATTTAGTATTTAAAATCACATTAGTAGAAAGCAGAACCTCGCACAGTTTCCTTGTAAGTTTCGTATTACATGACATTTTTGAGTATAATTACTTTATTCCTACAATATTACAACSATAAATGAGATTTTAAAACAAATATATTGATATAGACACACTAAATTAATATTATACATTTATCACGAGACTTTGTGAATTGAGTACTTGATTATTTAAAAATGAATTAGAGTGCATAATAATAAAAATAATAACTAAATACCTAGTCTAAATATATAATTTTTAACTAACTTTAATGTAACACAAGCACAACTAATAATCAATGAAGTTGAAGCATAATTTCAAATAAAACAATATAAAAATAAATGTACAATTGGTTAGATGAAATTGTATACGGCCTGTACTATAATGAAATGAATATGTTTAATGATAAACCTTTCAGTGTTACAGAAATGATAAATACCCTAAATATTCTATTAATTACTGTGAGCCTCGTGGTTAATAATATTTAGTACATATTTAGCACATGACTATTATATAGTATTATAAAATAATATGATCATATGACATATACAGAAAACTTGTTTGTAGAATGTTTTGTTTCTTGAAAAAGTGCCAATATAACGAACGGATACATTTAACAGCAAATCGCACTTAACAAACAATAAATATAATTAAAGAATTTTCATTAATCGTCTAATAAAATACTATTTTTGAACTCAAAAAACTCWTAAAGTGATATTTTTTGTATGGAAATATGAAACATTATTAACTTGGACCAATAATCCAAGATAGGTTTTATCTACAATATAACCTTCTTAACTTGAAATCACACTTAGGAATCTATTTTATTATATTAATCAAGTAAATGAATCAATGAAATAAAGTACATAATATGTTACAATTTTTCCAAAATGTGTTTGTAAACCAATATCAATGTGCTTTAGCGWTCGATTGAAGTAGGTACATGCAATTTTCATTCTTTGATTTATGAATGAATGTATTTCAGTATCATAGAAGAAATTATACAACATGTCAAAAATAAACTAAAATAAAACATAGATACCATTTTAAAAATCAACAAAATGATTGAGTTATTCAAATAAATAATAAATTCTTTATTTTTATTATTGTTATTAAATTTTAAATTATTATTGTTTATTCAATTTGTAATATTAAAACATCCTTCTATAAGTATGAATATGAATGCGATTCATAAAAATGATTTAGCAACCTATATGAAAATCGACAAACAAATTTTGAATTTAAAAAAATCAAGTATAGAGGATGACTATTCATTAATCGGTATACCTATAGGGCTACTTTTATGTTAATATGACACTTAATTTTTAATATTAAATAGAATTTACTATTTTCAAATAATAGTAATAGTATAACTTTTTACGAAGTCAAAATACAATCATTGATATTAAATTATAGTAGGTAGCAAATAAAACTGATCCACTAGAGAGTGGTATTTTATTTCAGATATTGAAGATATATCAAAATTATGCTTTAATGAAAGATTAAGTATAGTAAATGAAAAAGAAGAAGATTTAGGTGAATTTATTGGTAAAATACGGAAAAGTAATTCAAATACTAATTTTGCATCTTTAATGATAATTTTAAACTCGACTAGTATTCACGAACATAGTAAAGAAATCGGATTCAGTGTAATAACAACCACCACAACAGATTTCCTTTCCTACAAAGAAAAATGGTCACAATGGTAACATATGACTATRTTAAAACTAACTAAATTATAATTTTTTTAAAGTGGTGGAAAATTTAACAACTATAGGAACTCTAACGAATCTAAAATGACACGTAAAACTGTTTTAATTTCGAATAAAAACAATGATGGAAGGGTAGAAATCTATACGGATTTAAACAACGGCGAATTAATTGATCAAACCAAAGACATAAATTTAAAATACACTAAAGTAAGATTACGAATAACCAATAACTTATTTTAACTATATGGATATAATTATTAGTCATTATACTCGCAGGTACTTATTATTTATTAAACAGCTAAAATTTAATTAAGGTAATATAATAAATGAAAGTAATATGTGTTTATGTAACATGAAAATTAAATTTCCTTAGTTCAAAGATCGAAACATTGTTTATATTATTGTATACATTACATATTTACATCGGACTGAGATTCACTTCCTATGCCTACCTATAAATCGCTGTGAATGAATATTAGTTAAAGTAGCACTCAAATAAMATTTGTGCTATACAACACTTTACAGATTTACAATCATAATATGAAATATTATGCTTTCCCCTTAAGTATAACAATATTTTTATTTTTTTATTTTTTTTAATTCCTAAAATTGTTTTTGTAAGTCATAGAAATGTTTAACTAACAATAATTTTGTTCAGATGTTCGACGGTAGTTTTATATGATAGCGTAACTACTAATTTGTTCTGGCCTCTGAGGAGGGAATTATTCAAAATGTTGTGAAGTTTAAGTCCCTTATTACATCTGTCATTAGTCACAATCCAAAGTTTTAATACTTTTACAATGTATGCATTATATGCAAAATTAATTGATACATATTATGTATTTTTATAAATATATTATTTAAAAAAACACCTCAATATTAACATGTAGGTATTTTCCTTTTTAAACTTATGCGGAAACACAATAGATCGTAACAATTTTTCTATTATAATTATTCATAAAATAAATAATAAAACGTGACTTTACCTATCTTAATTAACATATTATATGTACTATGGTGTGCTAGACAGAGATGGATTCAGGAGAGAGGGCTAGGAACATAGTAGTTTGGATTTTGTTATTTAATATAGTACCTATCAATTATGTATTTTTTAAATTAGGATTAAACTTAAATTGGGGACAAATTTTTATATCAAGAATAAAGTGTACATACTATATTGTAATTMTATTTGTGTTTTAAAATAATTGTTGTCCCCACCCTTGCCCTAGCCACTAGGAAACTCCTAAAAATCAAACTCATTTTGTTTTTTCCCTGGATGTAGAGTTATACACAATGTATATTAAAACAGGATTCGTCTAATTACTCTATAATATATATTAGATTATGTTGCAATAAGTAGGTACTGCAGGACAAAAAAATAACTTATACAATAATAAGGTAGGTAGGTAGTATAGTTGATACCTAATACATTTTAACATAACAATTATACTTAATGTAAACCTACTTAATCTTATAATAATTACCAATTAAAATAGTTTATTGTTTTATTTTTTCATTAATGTTTAATTTATTTGAACATACAAAAAAAAATATTTTCCTGATTCACTAAAAAGTATAATTGCAGAATTTGCTAACCGAAGGTATGAACTATGCTTTCCTTCGATATCTTGCAATAAAAGGATTTGAAGGTACCATTAAGAAAAAAACAGCTATCACCATCAACGGAACATTGTGTAAAACGATATACGTACGTAGACACTTATAAAATCTTAATAAGTATAAATTATAATTAAATAATTCATAACTTTTTTATAGATATGTTCATTAAATGACAATTACAAAATTAATAAAACTTCAATATCAGTCTTAATTATAAAGAGGATCATACAATTGGGAAAATCTTTAAAAACTCCAATTATACGAACCATTACTGTTTTAACCCGTTTGGGTTATATATTAAATCATTCATGGGGTAAAACGGTTAAACAGAAATTGGTAATTAATAAGTCAATGCGAATCACCAAAGATGGTTTTGTTTATAACGACACTACGACACTTCTAAAGAATAATATTGATCAAGATATTCGTTTCAAATCRATGTATGTAAATAAAATTGTAAGTAGGTATATACCTATTTCCAGAGATACGATTTGATTTAATTTATTAATCAAAATTTTTAGTCTGAAATGAAAATAAARTATAAAACTTACATAAAAAATAACAAGGATGTGRACGACATGATTATTGATTATATAAAAGCTGTATTAATATCAAAGCCAGATAATGTGTTACAGTTTTCAATTGATTACTTTAATGATTTCTAAAAAAAATATTAATATCTTATTAGTTTTATGTATTTATATATGAAATGATGACTTTTAATACAATTGAAATCGTACGACAATAACAGGTTATTATTACTCGTGTATAATTTATTATATTATAGGTAGGTACATGCATTTATTACTATTAATTATACAGACATAACTATAAATATCAAAACTGAAGTCAATTAATTGCTTCTTATTCGATTTAAATGTATAATAATACCTTATCCTAAAATTTTATTATTCTGATAAGGAATAAGCTATTGATTCAAATTTCACATTAATTATCGATGATTTGTTGCAGTATGAACTTACTTAGTATTGAACTACCTAGGACCCGTTTTACAATCATAGTTTAAACTTCGGTCATGCTTGAACCACTGATTTTACCGGCTGAATTCCGTGGTTTAACCGGAGTTCAACCGGAGTTCAACTTTTGTAATACGGCCATACGGACCCTTAATCACTTTTCAAACACTAGCCGGTCGAAAAATTAAGTACTTACATAACTTGTCCGAAAGTTTTATGTTGACGCAATCAATTAAATGGATGCTGATAAAATGATTAGTAGATATAAATTAGATATAAAATATATTATATACTTATAATAACCAAATTATATTTATAATATATTATATATAAACCTATATATAAAATAGATAATATGTTAAATACGGRCGCATTCGGAACATTAAATAATGGATATTTTGGGACGCACTCGGGAGTTGTYCATATATATCAAGGTTGATATTTAGAATTTAATAATAATAAAATTATAGTTTATGATAATGTCCGACAATTGATAATATTTATATTTTTTTGCACCTTTGACTCATGAGAAATAATCTAGAAATATCATAGCATTCGTAAAAAAAGTCGGCCACTGACACTTGACAATTCTCACGAATGCATAAAAATATATTAATACATTATTCATTAATTATAAAAATAAAAACTTGTAAATCCAATCAAATACTTATAAGTTATAAGGCAGCTAAAATAGTCTATTTCAAATTCTTAAGCTATATCAAATTTTAATTTATTTAATTTTTTTAATTTATCATATTTAAAATGTATCAGCATATTAATGATCTAACAAGTTTTATAACACAATATTAATTTTAATTTAAAAAAATGCAGTGTTGTGTCTAACATTTGTGTCTAACATTTTTGAGTCCAATGTTCCTCAGTCAATACCTCTAATATGGGTGAATGGGTATTGATACCAGGGACGTAAATAGTATTATACCTTTTTATACATTATTATACGGGACGCAATTCATAAGCAGCAAATAGATGGAAAATAGACACACTTTAATACCAACACTTTTTTCTTTTTTTTTTATACACCTCACACTGCCAATAAACATGCATGTACGACGTACGTATTATGTAAATAACTTAACTGTCCACRTAATAGGAATGATTAGACGATAAACATATTTCAGTAAATCATGCGATGGTAATATAATAACATATAGTATTTATAGTATGTAGTTACGACGAGATTTACTTTGATATTAATATAATGAATTATATCAATTATCAATAGGTATTCAACATTATACGATTAGGATATAGCCTTATGTGTATGAATGATTGTAATTTGTTTAGTTAACATTAATAATTGTAAACGATAGATTTTCTTACCTATGATATAAAATTAATACCTAATTGATAATTTTTATCTATAACCGACTCCCATGGCCCCATGTTATAATACATGTGGATAATATTCCGAGGGAACAGTAGAACACAATATTTCATTACCTCTTATTATTATTATTATTATTATTATTATTATTATTATTATTATTATTATTATTATTATTATTATTATTATTATTATTATTTATTTATTATTAATATTAAAAAATAAAAACGGATGAGTGGTTACCGCTCTACCGTACAGTAGTTTTCGAGTATTATATGTTTTGCACATAAATAACGATTTTGAGCGGAGATGTTGTGTTATCCTAGCATACTTATATAAATAATCATATTTAATAATTCAAAAATAAATAGTAAGAATCAAAAATATCTCATGGGCCATGGCTATAAATATTAAATAGCATAACTTTCCGATGTTTTTTTTTTTTGTTAAAAGAACGTCAACGTATTTATTTTTCTCTCTCTACGTCCGAGTCGTGTGACAGAGCAAATTTTCCATTTACAATAATGATTATTAACATAATAATTTTTAAAATTGGAGTATAATGACCTCTTATAAAATTTAAAGGAAAGAATATTATCAATAGGGAATCTCGTATTAGGTCTAATCTAACCTCTCGTTTTACTATATTTTAATTCTTAAGTCTTTAATATTTTAGAACTTCAATTAAAGACCCTTATAAGAGGAACCTTACATTAAATCTTAAGCTTTTTTAATAGTTAGCTCAAAAACAAAATTCGATAATGTATCCTACTATTAATTTTCTACAGTTATTGCGGTTTTTATAGATAATGTAAAAAACATAATATATGAATAGGTATAAACTATAGATAAGGCGTAGGGGATATTTTGTAAGTACCATAATATGGTAATGGTAAATGGTAACCCTAAATGGATAAATTTCTTACCAAATATGCAAATATACTTTCTTTGTTATGGCATTATCTATACTGAAGATCTATTGCAATACTTTCAAATCTATTGTTTGGGAACATATTATTTATTATTTACCTACATATAGGTAAAGGGGACAATAAAAATATCCACTGAAAACGATTTCGGTGTTGTAACGTCTCGCAAGAAAAAATCGAGGATGATTAATAATTATAACATCGGTGAAAAGGCTAAAAAACCGATGAAAACGAGTGCGGGTACGTATACCTAAACACCACATAACCAGAGACGTGTCTAGGACCAAAATTCAGAACAGGCTTGGTTATAAAAATAATTTATATAGTCAACATATTATTTTTAAATTTAAGAAAAATTGTATCATGCTTTTAATAGTATGTGTACWAACATGAGAAGTTAAAAATCGGGGTAGGCCCGGGCCTACCAGGCCTACTCGCCGGACAAGCTTCAGCATGCACCTAACAATAATATTATTATTATCACGAGTGTCGTCGCGATGGAAACGGATGTGCGCAGACGCTAAACGCTTGATAATGAACGCCTGAACGCGGACATCGTCGAAAGCGATTCGGTAAAAAAAATAAACAAACCTGCGCTTTAATAATGGTGTTGGCTGCGTTGCACTTAGGTCGCGGCGTCGTCGAYGTCAGATGAGAGGGCCGATCGGCGGAAAAMCTGATCCGGCGGCACTATATAGTGAACTGTACGGAAATAATATAAAATCGTCTCAATATATTGTATCACAAACCGAAATGCAGTAATGCCCACGTTGCKATACACGACGATAATCCACCAATATTATAATGAAATACGATGTTGTCCATCATCGAGATGAAATAAAGRAACCGGASGAGACGCGTGATTTCGCTCTACGCGGACGGACAGAGGTTTTTTTCCTCGAATTTTTGTTGTTTTTTGAATAACTGCTGCTGCGACACGGACGCGCGCGAACCGTCGCACTCGTCTAAGACGCGACTGTCGCGCCGTGTAGGTAAGACGTGTACGCGTGTGCCGGCTAAAGAGCGAGCGAGTGAGCTGCTGCAGACGTCCACGTACAACGGAGAGGAAAACACAAACTCCCGATGTTATTGTACGCACGCACGCACACTAACGCCAACCGCTGGCCAAAGACGTCGTCATCGGTCGCGTTCTTGCCTCCACCGGTTACGATGATATACGAAGTCGTCGTATACCGCACAACCACCACCGCCGCCGCCGTCGCCAAGGACCCGTTTTTTTTTTCAGACGTTCTCAAACGTAGTATTACAATAATATTAATAACGCCGTACACACTACACACATTGTTTAACGGAGAGCCGAACGGCATTGTCGTGTGTGTACTACAACTATATACGTCACGTCTTATACAATAACATCGTATGACGTGCCCGCAGAGGTGAATCAGGTTCATACCGCACCGCGCGGTAGTCGGTCGGTAACAACATGGTAGTATATTAATATATTATAATATGATACAAAAACTCGGAACGGAGTAACGCTAAACAATATGTTTGTATTATAGGTACCAGCCTGCTGCTATACCTATACTGTTTGTAGCGGACATGACTTTTTACTCGTAGGTACCTGTTATACTTGAGTATGGAAAACGGATTTCCTCAAGTTGTATTGTTTCGTATAATAATTATATACCTACCGCAAATCATATTATCGTTTTAATTAATCATATTTTTATCATCGTATTATTACAAGTTTTCAAACATACTCCTAGACGTTTCCAACAACTCTTATCATTTAACCATATAGTTGTTGGTCTAGGACAGGGGTTTACCTATAGAATTTYCGAAATAAATGAACCAAACCATGTGGTGGAAGTTCACTGAATAACTTTTGAATGTAGCTACATTTCAACATCGACATTCAGAAATAAGTWTAAGGTCAAAAAATATTASTGTCTCACAGATAAAAGTTGTTTGCGCCACTATATAATATATACTGGCTTCCAATAATAATAAAATGTATTGACAACGTACCATTACTAAATACACATTATATAAATTAATTTACCTATAAATCTATTCATATTTATTCGTCCAAATGGTATTTTTTGAAGAATAGTGGGAAAACCACACAATCGGTGTATAACTATTTGCCCAAACAGATCATATTTTGGGTCGAAAAGCATGAACAGTCTGGACGTTGGACGTTGGACGTTGGACGTCCAAATATAAAATTGGAAACAATTAAAAAAAAAAGAGATACCGTGTATATTTAATGGGTTTTCGCTCTTATCTTTCCAATTTATCGAGGAAGCTGAGAACAGCTA